TCAGTACAGCAAGCCTTGAATCTTAAGGGAGTTAGGAAGAAAATAGAGACAGTGGCAGGTGTGCAGAGGAGGGGCTGCATTAGACTGCTCTAGCCAAACTCAGCAAGCAGGGAGGGGGCTCAATAATGCAGGAGTTAGGGATTGCCTTGCTCCCACTAAAACTTGCTCATCCCCACCTTCATTTTCCAGGTAGCTACTTAAAGCTCAGAGAGATCAAAGACCAACCCAGAATCACACAGCAGTCTCACAACAGAGCCTGGGTTTAAATCCTCTGTCTCCAAGCCCAAGCATGTTCTTCCAAAGGGTGGAGAGAGAGTTCAGTATCAAACACCTCAGGGTCCTCCTCCTACCTCTCCTGTTTGCCCCACTCTGCACCGGCTAAAGATTGGGAGACGCACTCTACCAAGAGCAGACAGGATTGCTCTTCTAGGGAGACAGCAACGGTTAACACTCCTAGCAGGTTATGACTACCGATAGACAGGACACTTAGTGCTGCCAGCAAGTCAGGGAGAGTGCTGATGCACTTTGGTTTTGTTGTTTTTTAAACAAACCTGGCCTAGAGACGATTTAATAACACTTATGTCTAAGCCCTTATAAGATAGAATGGCAGTGAGAGATTCAAGTATTCAAACAACAGCTGCAAGCTGAATTTTGCTGTAAAGCCAGCATCAGCCTCACCACCTCATCTTGAGAGGAATCTGGCATCCAGTCTCTGTGTTGGCAACCTCCATCCCCATCTGTGCAGTGACCTTCACCACCCATTGGGGAAGCAGTGGTGTCTCCCTCACTACCAGGAACCTAAGAGGTGATGTAGGCAAAGACCAGCCTGGTGCCCATGGAGGTCTGGCCAAGGGTAGTTGTGCCTGTTACTGCTTCTCAAAAGGGAAGAGACATTTCAGTCCACAATGAATACATTGAGGTGCTGTGGAAGCTACTCCACCAAGAAGGGAAGAGGCCATCTGATCTAGGAAGAGGTACAGGAAAGGGGACAGTTCAGGCACAGGGTTGAGGAAAGCTCATTTTGAAGTGCAGACAAATTTTGGCACAGTGAACCAGAGCCTAAATTCCCAATTAGTAATAGCAGAGGAAGGATGGACCAATAAGAACACTTTCCAAGGTAAACTCCTTACAGATCATTAAACTCATTGAGAAGGGAAAGGGGCTCTTGTTGTTTCCAAGTCACTGTGACAGCAACAGGGAGGCCAGGATGAGCCATTGCATTAAGAGGAACCATACCCAGAGACAGAAAGGCAGCATGCAGCCACACCTAGGAGAAACTTCTCAGAGAACACCTCCGACCTACAAGCCTGGCTCCAGGAAGACTGCAGCTGAGGAGAACATGGCATGATGTGCAAAACAAAACAACAATAAAAAAGAACAGAACAAGACATGGGAAGCATAGCTCAGTAGGGTTGTGCCATTACAGATGTTTTCTTCCTTTCTGTATTGCTAGTAGCTCTCTGGTGGCCATGTTTGCAAACTTGACATAAACTTGAGGCACCTGGGAAGGAGAACCCAAAATAGAGAAATCACCTCCATCAGATTGGCCATTGGGCTGATCTGTGGGTTATTGTCTGGACTGATGGTTGATGTAGGAGGACCCAGCACCTTGTGAGTGGTACCACCCCTAAGCAGATGGCCTGAATTGTATAAGAAGGCAGGCTGAGCAAGCCCTGGGGAACAAGCCAGTGATCAGCACCCCTCCATGGCCTCTGATTCAGTTCCTACTTCCGGGTCCCTGACTTGAGTTCCTGCCCTCGATCCTTACAGTGATGGAGTGTGACCTGGCATATGTAAGCCAAGTAAACACCTTCCTCCTGGGCTGTTTTTGTCAGTGTTTATCACAGCAACAGAGTAGTGAACTAGAACAAGTCCTAAGTTAAAAGCGGGGGAAAGATGCTAAAGTCCCCACTATGTCTAAGATAGAGCACCAGAGAACTTAATAGCCATGGAAAACTCACACACTTGAGTCCAAGTTGTTTGAAATTCTCTAGATATCATCCAGAAGTCGCTCCTATCCATGTAGAAGACAGGAGAATCTATCCAATGAAAGGCAGAGACAAATGTCACACCAGTTTCCCAGAGACAAAAGGGCATACTATGAAAATTACTAATGGAGGCACTTCCTTCTAGTCCCTAGAAACAAGAGTTGGTGATTGACACACATGCAAGGGTAATATAGTTGACTTCAGATAGATTCTTTTATTGCTTTTCTGACAGAGGTTGTGAGGAAATCATTTAGAAAATTCAGTGTGAACATAGCAATAGTGTCTTCCGTTTTGGCAGAAAAAAGCAAAAAACAAAAACCACAGGACTGAGGTCAGCAACCTGGATTTCCGTCTAGCTCCAAGGTGAGGGCATGTTCTTTTAGGTCCATCTCATCTAAAGCTCCATTATGCCACCTAAAATGCAAATGGGCTGGTCAGGAGCAGGGTGCTGAAGACACCACATCAATAAAGCACCTCAACACCCAGGTCACTACCACACCGTGTGTGGTATGTTACACTGACCAAGGGGAGACTTTATCCCTGGTTTTGCCATTATATAACTTGATCCCCAAATGATGGGAGAGTTGTGACAAAGGTCACAGAACTATGGTCTGATTAGACTAGAGGATGCTTGGACTGAGAACCAGATGAAATAAATGAACATAAATGGAAAGTCCTGTGTCTAAGCTATATATTTTTTTCAATCCCGCATAAGTTCAAGAGAGGGAAATACATAACAAGGTGAGATTCAGGTAACTAGATGAACTCATGCCAGTAATGTGACAGAGTCATCACTGAGCTTCAAACAAAAGAGCTAATGAGGCTTGTACCACATTAAGGGAAAAGATGGTGGTAGGTTACATGTTCCACCCTTCCAGATGTTTTATACATGTCTTGTTTTAAGACCATGATAACGTGATAGAATTCCAGCCCCAAGAAATAGTGGTGTGATTACCACCTGTTCCACAGAATCCTCTCAGTGCTGTTGTTTTCAATGCCAGGGATGATACCAATTAGCCAGGTAATAAACTGTGGTGTGTGCAAAACAGAACAGTCAAAATAAGACAAGTCTGGAAAGGAGGTTCAAAGCACTGGCCACACTCAGGCCAGAGGCTGCACACCCAGATGAATGGTTAAGCCTGAGACTCTTAACTGCTTACCTTGAAGTCTGGGTGCTTCCACTTGTACATTGTGTGGTGCTGAACAAGGGGCTCAGCTTCCTCTGTGCCTCAGTTCTCCCAGATACACAAGGAAGGCGGCCATTGTAACCGATGGGATGGTGTGGCCATAGTCAATGAGTTTCTTTGGATTTGGGGTTTTTTAGTTTTTGTTTGGTGGTGGTGGTGGTAGTTTTCTTGTTTGTCTGTTTTGAGACAGGGTCTAATGCATCCCACACTGGCCTTGAACTATGTAACCAAGAATGTCCTTGAACTTCTGATCCTCCTGCCTTTACCTCCTGAGCACTGTGCCATGTGCCCAGTGTATGCCCTGCTAGGGGTGGTTTTGTCCATGCTAGGACGAAACTGAGCCCCAGCCACAGTCCCCACATACACCATGGTAATGAGATGCCCTGTCTGTGATGTGCTGACTGGGCTGGCTGCTTGCCACCTAGCTCCAAGAGGGAGGCTAGGATCAATGGAGGAAACCAGAAGCAAGCATCTGTATACTTGAGAGAACATTCAGAGGGTCCAAACTCCCCAGTGGAGAAATGAGTTCCCAGTTACCAGAAAAGCTCTCTGTTTTCTTGTTCTGTGGTTGGTAACAAGTCATAAGGTGGCAACACTGATTAGGAATTTCAAAGAAATCAGACTGTGAGTCACTGTGAATGGTAGCGAGCTCCAAATCTCTCTTCCATCGAAGACTCTGAATGTTGATTTCTGGGTATGTATTTTAGGTCATTTTCTGTTGTTCCTGAATACCACAAACTGGGTGAAAAGTAACAAAAGTGTAGCCCTCACCTTTCAGGTTCAGGGACAATGGGCTGCATGTGGTAGGGCCTTTGGCTTCCAGGGACTCTGCAGTCCAGAGAGAGCAAAGGCAACTTGTGTTTTCCCTCCCCTCCTGGCAAGGCTAATAAGATCATGGCTTCCTTCTTTTCTAATCCTAATTAGACCCCACCTTGTAGTACTGTGACAAAGGAATTAACGCTCCATGAATTTGATGGAGGCATCCAGACCACAGCAGCAGACAACCCAGGTGGCAGTGGGCCCTTACTGCATGCTCTCAATTGCTTGCCTTTCATAAAAGAAGCAAGCTAATAGGCCGTGGTGTTTATAGTCAAATTCCACAAATGTCGAGTTTACCTGTGTACTCTTGGGCAATATAGGATATCTCTTTGGGTCTTGTTTGTTCTTCTGTAAATGAAATAAATTGCTAATAATCCCAAGGACCCAGAATCAAAGCTAGTGGGTTTTGTTTGTTTGTTTGTTCTTGCTGCGTTGGTAAGCACTGTGCCAAAATAGGATTTACAGCTAGCTGACTGGAGCTTTCCAACCTTCGAAACCCCATGGGGTTGGGGGTGGTAGAAACTAGATAAAGAAACTCAGCAAGCCTGTGTGCCAAAGCAACACTTACAAAGCTCCGAGAGACAGGCAAATTGGAAGTTCTCCCAAACCTGAAAGTCTTGTTTCTTATCAGGCAGAGGAGAGAATAAAGGGATAAAATGGACATTGTCGTTTGTTGAGAACCTACCTAATGTTGGTTTCTGGACCCAGTGACACAGCAGACCTCCATTGTGATTAGGGGGGATCCAGACTGAGGGTATGAGTTTGGCAACTGCCTTGGTCTAAATTGCTTCCATAAGCCTTTCTAGCCCTTTGGAAGTTTTGTGTGTCTTTCCTAGAGCCAGTCAGGACTAGATGACTCCATCTCACTGCAGTTCTTAAGTGTGAGAAGGTGCCAGGTATCCATCTTCTAACTGACAGTGGTGGGGTAGCTAAGGACCTGCCACACCCTTTAAGAAGCCCTGCCACACACGGCCCCACCATGATCTGCTTTCTCTCTGCTTCACAGTGTGATGGAGTTGAGGTAGACCTGAGCAATATTTTCCTGGAAGGCATTGCCATTCTGAACATTCCCAGCATGTACGGAGGCACCAATCTCTGGGGAGAAACCAAGAAGAACCGGGCTGTGATCCGGGAAAGCAGGAAGAGCATCACAGACCCAAAGGAGCTGAAATGCTGTGTCCAAGGTAAGCAAACTCAAGGGTAATTGCTCTAGCCATGGCCTCAGTGACAGAGTGAGCTAGCAAGCCACACAGAACCTACAGCAGGCTTGATGAGGACCCCACAGTTGCCAAGGACCTGGTGCTCTGGGAACAGGCTGACTCATCATCCCTGGGGTTACCAAGGTTACAATCTAATTGGGAAGACAAGGTTCACAATAAAGGACCCCTAGATAATGCCTGCCTTGGGTACCAATGTCTTTAACTGTCTATATCCAGCAGCTTTCAACCTGCTCTCAACTCCCAAACAACATCAGACCCCACCCATTGTTCCTTCCCCCTGGGGACCCTTTGTCCTCAGAGCTTCTAGAACTCTATTGGCTCCCAGTTTTCTTGGTCATCCCCCTGCTCACTGCTCAGTCTCTTTTCCCGCTGGCCAGTTAACTATTAATAAAAAAAAATCCAGAATCCAACTACTTCTTACCACCTGCTTTCTGATTGCCTGCATCTAAGCCACTGTCTTCTTTCTTCTGAATTACTAAAATCCCTTCTCTCTGGATTCCATCTTTTGCTCATGCTATATATAATGTGTTCTCACTGAGTGCTGCAGTGGTGTCTGCCTATAATGCCAGCATTGGAGAGGCAGAGCAGAAGTGTGAGGCCAGCCTAGGCTATATACCTAGAACAACCTTCTAAAACAGTCTATTCTCACCACACATAAAGACCCCTGAGAAGATGTCCTACTGTGCCACGGACCAAATCCAGTTCTGACTCCAAGTAAAAAGCCAAAGGTCTTGGTGTGATCTGGAGGCTCACGGGGTCTAGCCCCCAGCTAGCTCCCAGACCTCATCTTCTGCATGAACTCTCCCTTTCAGGAACTCTGCTTCTGTCACTTGTATGGTGGCTTGCATGAAGAAACCAGTCCTTTCCAAAACAGCTGGGTAGTGTGTCTAAGAGGCCCTCAGCTTTTAATGTGCAAGGAGACAGAAGACAGCCTTCTGAGAGCCCTTAAATGACCTTCATCCCAACTCCTTATCAGCCAAGGACTCAGTCAAAGAGCCTGGCTGCTAAGTCCTCTAAGGATGGTTTGGATTTCATGGTATCTCAGTTGCCTGGAGAGTGGAAGGGAGGGACATTGCCATGGGTATTATGCCAGCAGAAGGAGAGAATTGGATTCTAACCCATCTTTTCTTTGCTGTAAAAACAGCTTTTCAGGTAAAATCTTGCTAACTGGGTAGATGAGATTGAACAAGAGAATTGATTCTTAAACCAGACCTGCTTTCTGAAAAAGATTCCTGGACTCTGAGCTACCTACTATTGAAGAGAGGGAGGGGGCTACCTACCATTGGGGGGAGGGTCTGCCTACCTATCATTGAAGGGAGGGGGCTGACTACCATTGGAGGGAGAGGCTACCTACCATTGAAGGAAGGGGACTACTTACCACTAAAGGGAGGGAGCTACCAACCACTGAAGGGGGGCTACCTACCATTGAAGGGGGTGGTTACTTGTTTACCTCACATGAATCATCTGTATTCTAGAGCAAGGTAATAAAGAAGCACCCTCTTCATACCTCTGTCCTTTCAAAGCAGACTCAGGAATATTTCTCTTTTGCCCTCTTCTGGCCCCTTTATTTCACACAGTAAACTTTTCAATTTATATGAATTATTAAACTAAACAATCCATTCCTCTTTCCTCCCTCAGCAGGGGAAGTTGTGGGTGCTAGCAGAGTGAGGGGAATATTGGAGATTGTATAAAGTTCCTGACACCCCTCCTCATGTTCCCATTCCAATTCCACTCTCACCTCCTGGCATCCAGATCTATCAGAACAGAGAAGGAACTGGCAGAGAAGAAAGACCCTCTCCCAATTCACCCTGTGGTTTGAGGGTGCTCTTCCTGAGGTCACATTCTGCTTGCATCTTTCTGTTCTTTAAGCAGCAGTACACTGTTGGTCTCTCTTGGCCATCTTGCATGGGAGGCCTTCTCCCCAACCCCCATTTCCCATCCCCAAAATGCACTTTCAGAGCTGAAAGATGAAGCACTTCCTGTTCTTCAACAGGAGTGTGAGCAGATCAAAGGAGAGGCCCTGGCTTTGGGACTTTTCATAGATCTCTACTGGGAGCCTCCTTCCAGGGAGAGCCATCCCATAAAGTTCAGTTCACAGCAGGGGGGAGCCTGTAAAGATTTCCCTTAGGAAATCTGGGCTCCGACTCACATTCTGCCTCTCACTAGTATGTGGCGGTGTAGATGTTCCTTCATCATCTTCTTGGCTCTCCACTTTTCTTAGCTATAAAACAAGCACTCTGGAAATCATATTTTGAAACTTTTTGTTTCTTTTTTGAGTCAGGGTTTCTCTGTAACTTTGGAGCCTGTCCTGGAACTCGTTCTGTAGACAAGGCTAGCCACAAACTCATAGAGATCTGCCTGCCTCTACCTCTCAAGTGCCAGGATTAAATGCCTGCGCCACCACTGCCTTACTATTTTGAGACTTCTAACACCTCTAAAAATTGACAGTTGCAATTTGGCCTATGTGGCCTGCTTGAGCAGAATTGTATGTATATTGTATGTATATTTTTTATTCTGTATGGTTTGTTCCAGGATTTCTGGGCCAGTAGCCAAGGGGCAGAGGTGTCTTGCAGGCTCTTCATTTAATGAGATTCTTGACTCCTTGACCTACCTTTGAAACTGGAAGAGAGAGAGAAGTCAGGACAGAGAGTAGGAGAGAAGGGTCTCATCTTAGGAAGTAAAGAGGAAGATAGATAGAAGGCTAATGCCAAATCTCTCATCATGCATCAACCTTTCTCCTGGGAAAAGTGGCCCAAGTAAGAAGGTCACTCAGGATTAACATGGTGTGAGAGCTATAAGAACATAGCCTGCTGAGAAGACAACAAAGGTACAGGGAACATTATTGGGTAGATAACCTGAGTTTAAATTTTGGCTTTATATTTTTCAGTTTTATTAAAATTTTAAAAATATCCTACCTCCCCAGTATCCTATCTATAAACTGGGCATACTAATACCTAGTTCCCTAGTGTGTTAAAAAGTGGTGGGCATAAAAGTGCCTGGACACAGTATGAACTCAAACTTAGATAACCACCCTCTATCCTCTTCAGAGCATGCAAATCTGAGTCTGGTTCTGACACTTCTGTCTGCAGCATGTACCACCAATGAGAAAAGCAAACTCCTACAGAGTTCCAACCAACCTTGTCCTGGCACAAAAACTATAGCTACTGTCCCCCTCCCTAGACTTCTCAGATTCCAAGGACAGAGGCTAGGGACTATGAATCTCTGAAACCCTACTACCTTTCCCAAAGTACCAAAAAATGAAAAACAAGGGGCTGGACAGAGGGTTCAGCAATTAAGAGTATATAATGATGCTCTTTCAAAAGACTGGAGTTCAAGTCCCAGCACTCATATCAGGTGGCTTATAACCAACCACTTGTAACTCCAGTTCCAGGGGACCTGACACCTCTGACCACTGCAGGCTCCAGTACTCAGCTATACACAGATGCACAGACTTTAAAATAGGAAAATATAAGCTTGAAAAACAAAAGAAATTAGATAAATAAGAAACTCATGGCATCAGTTGTTATTAATATTTATAACAAGAATGGTCAGAAATAATCTTTTTTTTTTATATTCCATTGTAGCCTGCAAGTAATTTTATGTGAATGAATATAATCCTAACCAAAAGCCCATGAAAAAGGTTATGTACCTAGCCAAATATTCCTTCTTTATAGTGGGGGGGGGGGACTGGTCAGTTTATATCCAGAAATAGCACTGGAACCAAGACTTGTGTCCATGATTCGAAACCAGCCCTTAGAGGATGTGTCCATCTAGAAAATGCCCTGAAGAGACTTCTGTGTGTGCTATACAAGCCAAGCTTTTCACAGCATGGGTGACAGGTAGATATAGTCCAACAAGAGAATCCAATCTCCTTGGTGACACTCTGCTTCTCCCTGTCAAGACTCATGCTCCTAGAGCCCCGAACAGAGACCAGCTCTAATTTCCCTGAGCTTTGAGCTTTGCCTCAGTCTCACTAGAAAACTGGCTGTAACTTTCCCTGGATCATAGGCTGTGTGCCCTTAGCATCTCTTTCACCTCTCTGTCTTGGGAAACAAGGGACATATGTTCCACAGTCTCCTTTTGTTTACCACTCTAGTTGGCATCATGAATCTGGGAGAAAGGCCTAAAAAGGAGGCAGGCTGAATCTCATTCGATAACCAACTTTATTCAGAGCATCAGACAGTTTATACCCTGAGGGTTATGAAAGGTCACCTGAGTAAAGTTCTTGTGTACGGAGCTGTGTACGGTCACAAAGGACAAGCTATGCATGACTAAAGCATGTTTTTCCAGAGAGGCCTATGAATAACAGCAGCCGAAGTAAACTCACTCCTTTCATATCTACTATGCCTGGGAGGAACACGAAGACATATCCCAAGAAGAGTTTTGGGTTTTGAAGAAACTGAGGTCACAAGACTAGTCTTGCTTTCTTGGAGCTTTCTCACGGGTCTCCATTCTGGGACTGTGTGCCCCAACAACATCTGTGTCCTTTTCACACCCTTCTACCCAGAAGGGTGTACAGTGTTCTATAGAGACAGGAAGGAAATCTTGCCTTCAGTCAGCACAGTTGGCAATAGACTCTACAGGAGGACAGAGTCAGGCATGAAGCAAACATAAAGGAAAGTCTTAGAAAGCATTATATGTGAATATGGGAACGATTACACATCCATTTGACAAGTGAGATGTGCTAGTCGTCTTTAAATGAGTTAATTCCAGTGCAGCTTACAGGACTTGCAACTGAGAAGCTGTGTGGAGTAAAGGGATGCACCACTGAAGAATAAAAAACAAAACAACAACAAAAACTCAGGCCTCCTCACCTCCACCCATGAGACCTTGTTACCTCTCCATGCCTCCATTTCCACACTTCACCAAACAAACAGTGATGGGCTCATTCTCCCGGATTGTTGCCAAGGTGGAATTGGATTGTCCTTGTAGGACACATAGCAGCAGCTAGAACTTGATGAGGC